AGTTTTTTAAGTCGGAAAAACCAAATTTGCAAAAAGATGACTTCACAGATGCTCTGCTGTAGCTCTTCTTTCCCTTTTAGCACTAATGTTTATATCTCTAAGTAGTTGAATGTATGGACTGTTGCTATTGCTAGCAGGAGATTTTCATAGAATTTTACTTGCTAGCTAGCGGCACTTCACTGATTCTTGCGACCAAACTCAAAATCGCGTTTTAAATCCGTCTTTGAGGTTTGGTTCTATGACATTAGTCAAAAGATAGCTTCTGAGTGATTATATAGAAATACAAATTTTTTTCCAAATACAAATCATGAATTTAATTTTGGTTGATGATTTGAAGAGTCAACAAACTTTATTTGATTTACGTACGAATTTTCGCATGGACCTGATATCTAGAAACATTTGATTTTGTTAGCGAATATTTTGTTGGATTTAACCTTCTTCCATGATTTTTATGGCGTTTGTATGAGCTTAAAAAGAAATACTTATTAACTTCATAAAAAACCTGAAAATTGCTCAATTTCTTCTTTGCCACGACAGGTTTTTATAGCAACAATTTATTGTGCTGCCTAACGTTTCGGCGGATACGCCGTCCTCAGAGGCCTGAAAGTGAGTCAATCACTTTTATCAAACGTATTGTGCCATCAAATGCCTCGACCTACTCGCACGTTTGACTCGTCCAATGCAACCGCAGTCCAGCGTCCAAGCTTGATCAACTTACCAAGACTCCCAGAGAAGAGCACGATAGAGGCTCTTTAGGTCGCCTACAGTGTACGGTAACAATAAACAGTCCAACTGGTTTGGACATGTTTAAATAGCTATAGGCTATCGAAATCACAAAATGATAAGAACGGCTTCAGATCATTCGTCACAGATAACTGTTCATTCTTGCTATTTAATTTCGGGTTACGAGCAAGAATGAACGCGGCTTCTAACACTTTTCGAGCAGAGATGTTGTCCTCGATTGCCAGTATGCTGCAATTTATGTCAAAGTCTTCGCCGCCGTGATCTTCGTTTCTATGTTTCCCCAATGGGCTCACAAGGCTCTGTCTTCTTTTGCTGGCCAGATGTTCATTTACACGTACAAAAAGCGGTCGACCGGTCTCGCCGATGTAAATGGCCCGGCATGTTCGACATTCCAACTGGTAAACTACACCACTTTTTGAGCAATCTCCTGACCTTCCGTTAGTACACACAACACAATTTCGCGATGTGCAAGCTCTATCGTATAATCGATTTCGCACCAGTTGTTTCTTGATGTTGTCTTGTGGTAAATTCACTAGAACAACATCATTATCCAACTGTGCTTGCGTAATACATCGTTTGACTGCGTTGGTCACTTTGTCGCATATGGCAAGCATAAAGGAACACGTGTTCGACTTTGGTTGCTTGCGTTCATGTATGTTCGTTTGGAGGCTTTCGATTGCAGCGAGTACCCGTTGTTGGAAGCTATGAAATAAAGAATATATATATATATATAAAGCCTCCAAACGAACATACATGAACGCAAGCAACCAAAGTCGAACACGTGTTCCTTTATGCTTGCCATATGCGACAAAGTGACCAACGCAGTCAAACGATGTATTACGCACGCACAGTTGGATAATGATGTTGTTCTAGTGAATTTACCACAAGACAACATCAAGAAACAACTGGTGCGAAATCGATTATACGATAGAGCTTGCACATCGCGAAATTGTGTTGTGTGCACTAACGGAAGGTCAGGAGAATGCTCAAAAAGTGGTGTAGTTTACCAGTTGGAATGTCGAACATGCCGGGCCATTTACATCGGCGAGACCGGTCGACCGCTTTTTGTACGTGTAAATGAACATCTGGCCAGCAAAAGAAGACAGAGCCTTGTGAGCCCATTGGGGAAACATAGAAACGAAGATCACGGCGGCGAAGACTTTGACATAAATTGCAGCATACTGGCAATCGAGGACAACATCTCTGCTCGAAAAGTGTTAGAAGCCGCGTTCATTCTTGCTCGTAACCCGAAATTAAATAGCAAGAATGAACAGTTGTCTGTGACGAATGATCTGAAGCCGTTCTTATCATTTTGTGATTTCGATAGCCTATAGCTATTTAAAGATGTCCAAACCAGTTGGACTGTTTATTGTTACCGTACACTGTAGGCGACCTAAAGAGCCTCTATCGTGCTCTTCTCTGGGAGTCTTGGTAAGTTGATCAAGCTTGGACGCTGGACTGCGGTTGCATTGGACGAGTCAAACGTGCGAGTAGGTCGAGGCATTTGATGGCACAATACGTTTGATAAAAGTGATTGACTCACTTTCAGGCCTCTGAGGACGGCGTATCCGCCGAAACGTTAGGCAGCACAATAAATTGTTGCTATAAAAACCTGTCGTGGCAAAGAAGAAATTGAGCAATATTCAACATTATGCTAAGGTTTAAAGAAAGGAGAACTTTTGAGTTACTTCAAAACCTGAAAATTTTTCCACTCACTCGTTACCTTAGAATGGCTAACTAACACATCCGCAAAAATTCGCCATCAAAAATATGCAAAAAGGTCAAAAATGGGCTTAGTCCTAGCTCACCTTGCTGCTGGGATAAAATGGGCTTTCAAGTCCTTTTAAAATGGAGGTAAATACCATTTTGCCTCATTCTAATTGGACTTTTCGCATGATTGTTTAGCAAGCGAAAGCTCAGGTAGGGTTGAATCATTTCCGTCACACCGCTTTGCCTCGTGGTTGCGATGAGATAAAAATTTCAAATAACGCAAGCGAAAGCAGATTCCGACCAGTTTCTACCGCGAACGAATAAAATGGGGTTTGAAAGTCCATTTTCCTCCATTACGGACTTTCGTGGATATCATTTTTGGAAAGCCACCCATAGTGGCTCACAAAAATTGAGCCATGATTCTTGTCTTCTCTCAAATAATTTTTTGATCTCTCTTGCATACCACTAACATCTCAAGTCCTACGAACACCTCTCTAGTTACCGGTCTCTAAAAATTCTGAATACTCACAGCGATGCTACTCGTGCGCGTGGTGCGCTCGGGCACATTATGCCGCCAATGCGAACAATACGAGCAATTTAGTTTCTTTTTTTCAAACTTTTTGAGTACTCTTTAATGCCTTGTTCTATTTAACTATTTGTTTTTCTCTAGAAGCACCCAAAGAGCATGTCGTGCTAGTGTTGCAAATTCAAGGACGAGTCCTTTTTGGTAATCATAAACCTGTGCATAGCTTTCCTTCTCTGAACTTGCAGGCTGCCTCAATTCATTTAAAATAAGATCAACGGCAATATTTTGATTTAAGGGCTCTGTGCGATAGCATCCACTAGGCAGTACAACTCAAGCACCTCAGTGGTTCAAACCAAAGTGGTTTGTTGATAAGCGCATAAAGAGGTTGTAATTGACCCTCAAAATGAGATAAACTCTTGAATCTTTACATAAGCGTTTTGCAAACATTGCGATATTATTAACGTTGTGCACCTTTGTTTCCTCATAACTGTCAGAAGTATAGCCCTGGTGGGCACAATCCGGCACGTGCCACCATCGTCCGCATCGTATGCTGAACAAGGCTGATTACTTGTCATCATTTAGCATTGGACATCGGTAACCTGTGTTATGCGTTACCGGTAAAGTAACGGTCCCTATGCACCTTCTTGCAGTAACGTTCGCTACGGCAGGTGCCACACGAGAGTGTAGTAGTGAATGTACAGTATATACACGTGACGAAATGTAAAACTGTATTCACTTTTCCGTGCCTAAATGTATGCGACAGGACAAACAACAGATTACCATGTGTGCCGTATGCTAAATAGTGACTTTTATGTACCTACTTGAAAGCAACTTTTTCAGACTGTACACAGCAATAAAATTGTCTCCATTTCCTACCAACTTGAGCCGGCTAACGAGGGTGTGGTCAGAAGTGAAAGTGGCCATTCTAAACCACCTGGTAACCAATAGATGCAACATGGAACGGTAACTAATCTATCCCCAGTTTCTGCTGAACCCTTTTTTGGACGAATTGCATAGTTTCACGCAATTAACCGTACATATGCAAGCTAAAAACATGAATGAGACTTCCCATTTCATCTAAGACTGGAAGAAGCAACCTACCGGTTCGAATTGAGCGTTTTAGGCTGCACCTATTATTTGCAAAAAAATGACCAGTTCAAATTCTCACGCTGTAATCAAATTAAAGCTACTTTTGGCAGAATGTAACATTTCAAGATGGAATTTACTTGCACAATAACTTTTTTTGCAACACTGCTTTTTATCTTTCAATCAGTATCCTATTTTATTAGCTTTACAGCTAAGCAGGGTATGGTCAAAACTTAACCCAGCCATACCAATGCTGTAGATCATCGGACTTTCTTGAACGGCTGATCAGTATATCTTTACTATCTGCCAAGCGACTATCTGGAGGAAGTTATGAGCGCTTAAATGTGCAATTTGTCAAGTGTTCTGTGCAGCATGTCCCACGAAATAGGTTTCAAAAAGACTTATTTAGGTTTATGGTGAATGTACGTCTTCTTTGTAATTAAACCATAGCCACTGTAAATCCCCGCCATCAGGCTGCCTCTCAAGGAAATACCGTCAAACTCGAATAATTTCTCACATTTGGACGCTCACAACTCCTTCCAGATAATCGCTTAGCAGACAAAAGAAATATTTGAATTCAGCGTTCTAAGACGAGTTCGATTATATACAGCTTGATTGGAATGGATGAGTTGAGTTTTGAACATTTCTTCGTAATCCTTATATGGATTCGGTGCATGAAATTGACGTGCTGGTAATATTTATTCCTTATGTTCTATCACAATCGCATTAGCAGGAACAAAACCAGAAGCTTTAAAGCTAAAAAATTAAGAGTAGGTCAAAGAAAGGTCATGACAAGAGTAGCAAATCCATACCAGTATAAGTATGAGCGACTGCTTCCTCGAGTCAGTATGTTGTCAGTAATAGCTATGAAGAGACTATTTTGATAAATTGCCAATTAAGCAATACGTATGATCAGTGCTCAACGCGATTTGTCTTAACTAAGACGTGCAATGAAAAACGCCTGTCCTAGGCCGGAATCTGCCATGTTTTCGATTCCAGGCTTATCGTAGAAGAAACTGCCTTCTTCGTCCTTATATTCTTGGATTGCGTCTATACCCAAGCATTCACCCAACGGAGAAACGCAGTGATCCGCAAAAGCATACGCATCGTAGAAAAAGTAACCAGTGGTGTTGTAAATCTCTCCAAAGTACAAACGACGACGATCTGAATTATTATTTGGAGTGACATTGTCAGCATACCATATTTAAAGTGTACCACACCTTGCCCAAGGCCCTGGGCATACCTCACGCGATTTCAGTCGCGACGCAGTTTGGCAATACTCCAATAGTTCATAAAACATCGTAAGGGGCTTGAAAATGTACGGAAGATAGTGCACTTCAACCTATGACAATTGTACATGCTATGCATTTGGATTCTGCCATTAATGAATTTCAAGACATTTGGCAAATTGCCAGATCGCGTGGCGACTCAACGCATGAGGCGTGCCCGCAGCTTGGATCTATCACAGCGCATTCTGCCCACTTGTTTTTCGAATAGTAGGTTCGCCCTACACCGTACTCTTAGCTGACTGTAATCAAGTTTGAACTCTTAGATTGCTCATGCTCAATGCTCAAAGGAATTTTAGTGATGCAAAAGGGGTCAAAAGTTAGGCTGACAAATTTGAAAGTCCTCTGAGTTATTCAAATGCAAACCCGCTACCTAGTGCAATATCCAACTACCATGATTTACTTACTTGCTTTGCGAAAAACAGGTACGGAAGTACAAGTTTCCTCTGCTTTCCTGGAGAAGAAGAGCCTAAATAGAAAGTCAGAAGAAATGACAGTATCTGAACATAACACGTGTGCATGTATGAAAAGATGCAGCTATCTGTCGCTCTTTCTCGACAAACAGACAAAACCTCACGTGGGTCCTGTAGCATTGTAGTCAATGGGTTTTTTGTCATGACTATGTAAGAAGAAATGGTAATTTCCAAGATGATCATAAGGTTGGATTACAGCAACATCTGGCATCTTGTCGAAGCGCTTTTCAAAAGTGTTGCCCTTCTTTGGTATGCTCTGGAACGGTATCTCCCTTATAGATGTTTCAGTCATGCATGATGAATCAGTCTCTTCACGAGAGAGCACGTATAACTCTTCGAAAACTATTCCGTCGCCTTTTCCTATTCTGACCAACTGGCAGCTGCGTTCCTCCTAAAGTAATCTAGGTAATTCGTTATTTTCATCTACATACATATTGCAAACCTCATTGTAATGTACAGCTTTGCACTCTTTTTCTTCATAGCAAGCTCTCAAGCAATGAGCTTTGTCTTCATTGTCTTTCAAATAAAAGGAATACATAGGGACTCCAACATTAACTTCTTCTTTACCATGGAAACGAAAGACGCCAGAACTTGATATCTAAATTATGGTATGAAAGCATACACCTTTTTTCTTCTCTTCATCCACTTCATGCGATTAACAATGGCGTTTAATAATGCCGGGTTTTCAAGAAGCGGACGAAGTGAATTAAGATAAGTATGGCGCGTGCCAAATTAAACTATCCAGTTTTATGACTAATTCAAAGCTCACCTCCCTCGCTAAGAGCAGAACAATGATAATATTCGTAGTTAACATAGTGTCAGAATGGCTTGCTCAGGAAGTATAGTAGTACGGAGTAGCGGATTGTAGAAACATCGGAGAAAAAGCCTTCTTCTCCAGCACCGCCTTTAAGACATATTACAGCCAGCGGCTAAACAACCAGTGACAAACCTATTAACAATTTACGGATGTGTTCAAACAAAGCTTCCCAGAATATCAACTACATAGCAACTGTCCGGACTCTGAATTATCGCACTTTTCGCGCCTAGGCTCTATGCATAGTGCGTTCAAAAGAGTTCATTTTCAGCAGTCACAAAAAAATCTAAACAGGGAAGATACTTGGTGACCCTGGCCTCATAGTGGTTTGTATATTAAAAAAATCGCCTTTTAATGCTGGTTCGAACACTGTTTTCCATATCTGCGAAACGAGAACTTGAATGGAGTTATGACTATTTTTCAAAAATGAATTGTGCTACTGCGGAGGGTGAAAATCATTGATAAAAATTTTTCTTTCATATTGAAAAGCTGAATATGGTTTAGATAGGTGTAAATACAACGTTACACCTTTCCAGATTTTCATGAATAGCTTCAAACGGTAAATTAGATCAAATTGGATGATTTGGACTATCTAAAAGTACGCAAATTTTCTACGAAAAAAGTTCATCACTGCCTCTAAATGATGGTTTCGCAAATTTCGAGCACAGATTTAGAATCAGCGTTTCGACGTGCACCTTATGATATATACATTGTATTCCACATGGCCGGGGTCACCAAATATCCTTTCCTTGTGAGATGTATTATTGTATTATTTTGTTTACTTGTATATTATCCATCTTATGTGTGTTAGCTCGTTCTGAAGTCATGCATTTTTTTGACTGAGGGCCACAACCAACGCACAGCACGTGTGTTGAGCGTTTTCAAGAATGATTTTCTACGACATCGCTCAATTAGTTCTAAGTCTCCTCTGACTTGAATAGAATCTACAAAAATTTAAAAATAAGCATCTATTTCACTATGTTCATTGGCAAGAGTTTTAACAAAGATTTCAAAAGAAAGAATTTTTCTCTGCGTCCTTATCTGCAACCCGTAATAAATAAAACAGAGCGATAACTACAAGTCTCCCTTCCTCCCATGCATCTGTATAACTCCCACTCAGTCGTGATTTGAAGCGCAGTATTTATCGCAGTATTTATTTATTTACGCCCTCAAAAGAAAGGGATGCAGTAGTTTGGTTGAGCTCAATTCACTGAACGACAGCTTTTTGAGCACTCGGATAATTCAACCGAGAAGGTCCAAAACTGTGCAAACCTCCGGAGTTATGCTCCGAACTTGGTTTGGTGATACACTAGAAACCATCAAATCAGATAACAGGAATTACGGAAAAAATGTCCAAATTTGACTGTTCAGTAACCTTGATACCAATCATATGATGCTGCGTTATTTCCTCACAGCAAAATATCAGCAATTTTTTAACTCAAAGTGGCTAACATTTTGGTCTTAGCATCTTTGCCAGAGCGTGGAAAGTCGAATGCATTAGCGAAATAATTTCTCAGACAATCAACATCAAAGTCAACATCAAAACTTAAGAGACATTCAATCCATGACTAGTACAAAGGCTAAAGTAGAATCACGGACAGCTAGTCACCTCAAATGACACAATAGAAGGTGCATTGACCGCTGAAAGTAGGATATGTACCCCCACCTCTTTTACTGATCAGGTGACTTGACCTCAAGTCAAAATTCACAGGGGGTTTTCGTATTGCGCGGGTTCAACAGTCAAGTAAAGTACTCTTTTTTCCAATTCATTTTTAAACCCTTGATGATTCAAAAAGTCTCTAGAGCCTTGCATAGCAGTTTGGGCTTGTACTGATACTGCGATATTCAAGGATGTTGCAGATTTCGATTTATATAGCCCGTTCACACGTATTTCGATGCGGCAGGCAAAGGGAGCGTCGTCTACCTGTACACGTCACTACATAACAATCCAAAAAACCAGAAATACTTGGTAAGTAATGCGTCTCTATGGCTAATAAACTCGCGTTGGCTTTGTCATAAGGGCAGGTCATCTTGTCAGTCTGAAAAGAGGTAGAGGGTTATATTCTACACTCGGTGCTCAATGCACTTTCTGTTGTGCTGTTTTGGGTGAGCCCTGGTTATCTGTGAATTAATACTTCGGCTTTCGTACTAGTCATGGTTTATCTTAAGCTCTGATGTTGGCGCTTAAAGACAGTGTCTCACCAGAGGGGGTATCCGGCTCTCGTAGTAATGTAATAGTAGACCCCCTATTTAAGCGATGACTGATGCTCGGAGCGAAAAAGGGGATCTACCAAGCCAGAATTTTGCTCCGAAAGTGGCCTGAATCTTACGGTAGGTCCGGGCGAGTACAGACGGATGCAAGGTAGAGACGCAGAGTCGTTGCGGGACCCTGCGCTCATGACTGTGTGCACTATACGCACTCTGGCCCTGCAATCGATATTGCTGTGTGTGCGGCATTCAGGCCTAAAGTAAGATTCGGGCCACTTTGGAGCAAATTTCAGCTTGGTAAACCCCCTTTTTCGCTCCGAACTTCAGACATCGATTAGGTAGGGGGTCTATTATTACATCATTACGAGAGCCAGGTACCCCCAGTCTGGTGGGACACTGCCTTTAAAGGCAGTGGGTCGGCAGAATGAGACCCGTGGCAAAACAAGGTCACAGGGTAGGAGCCCCCATAATAGAACCTATGGGCCGAAAATCGATCTTTCTCTGCCACTCATAACCCCCGAAATTTCAAATCAAAAACAGCGCTCATCTCCTCTCCTCTCCGACCTCGCCCACCCCACGGACGAGTGAACGCGAAGTCCGTCATGGCGAAGACGCAGAGTCGTTGCGGGACCTCATGCTTATAGCATTGCGGCTGCCCGCTGACCGTGGAAGTCACTCGTCTATGGGGTGGGCGAGTTCGGAGAGGACAGGAAATGAGCGCTGCTTTCGCTTTGAAATTTCGGGGGCTAAAAGTGGCAGAGAAAGATCGATTTTCGGTCCATAGGTTCCATTATGGGGGCTCCTACCCCGTGACCTTGTTTTGCCACTGGTCTCATTCTGCCGACCCACTGTCTTTAAGGAAATGTTGCCCTGATTCATTTGCAGGCATATACAAAAGGCGATAAAGCGAAAGTGTTGTCTTATTGGGTAAAGAGTTATTAACGTCTTGGTGATGCTTGAAAACGACACAGCATTTATGAGATTCGAACTCACGCGGACAAACCCCGATGGACTGATACCATTGCTTCAAAGGCAAATCCCGAAAAATCTGGACAAATGGGGACCGCACGTGGAAACTGATCTTGGGGCCCTAACTAGGGCGCCCATGCGGCAGCGTAGGTGCCCTTCCGGCTGAGATAGTGGTCCCCAAACCGGATCCCACTATATTTGGCGGCTGATCTGCACTAGATTGCATGCTAGTGTGGTAAACCCACCACCCTCTAATGGGCTGCGGAAGGCGTGCAGTGTTACCCAGGCGCTCACTGCACGATTTGCCAGCAGCCGGCGCAGCTGCTGGCAAAGCCGCGCTGGCGGTACATCAATAACGCTCGTCGGCCGAGAGGTCTTCTCGCACCTCGTTGCACTGAGATGAGATGCTAGCCTTAGGAATAGCGTGATATCCTCGATATCTATGAGGATGTCCCATAATTTTCTACCGTCTTCACCCTAAACACCAGCTTTCTCAAGAATTGGGGCACCTTCAAACTTCAAAAACACATGGTCGTACTTCTGTGCGTATGAGCTATATGATCACGTATGTGAGAGGAGCTCAAATTTACTCCATTCATTTTTTCTTTATTTCAAGCCATGGAAAAAATACGGAAATAGCGCATTTGAATGCGCGATGAGTCAAGCATATGCTAGGATAAATGGGGAATTTTTTAGCTGCTTTGGGGCGTAGATACGATTTTTGACAGAAAAGTTCGTTTTCGACTACTAACAGATTTCAGCTTGGAAATTTACGTGGGATACCATTTGGGCAGGCTTTTGATAACCATCTTGTAGAGATTGCTTTACCCTGTTGAATGATTACTCAAGCCACATCAGATGAAGAAAAGATACAAATAAACGGCGGTTGTAGTAAAACGGTAAACAAATTATGAAATACCCTAATATATCATCTTGAACAGCAGGTAATTTACATTACAGTGAGAACCATGCAATCGGGTACAATACTATACCGAGAAATTTTTACGATATTTGTTTATTGACGATGCAATTTCAAGTATCTTTTCATGGAAAAAAATCCTAATATTCAATTTACTTCTCCATGAGCACTTCAGAATTTGAAATGAGGTTCCGTTGGAGCGGTCACTAAGGTTTTTTCAACCTTGAATCATTTCTTTTTTGCAACGAGTTTTAAGCTTTGAATCTTTTTTCATAATGATTATTTTTTTTCTAAAAACATCTGCAAAAGTGATTAATTTTCCAACTAAGCTTGAATTAGAGTGATACATTTTGATTTGTGGTCATCTACGCTGTTATCTTTCATATTCAGCATGTGGCATATTCTCACCTTTTATTTGACCTACTCAGCTTATTTGATCTACTTATTTAGCTCTAGCATCACTAAGTTATAAAAACTAATTTTGACGAGCTCTTATCGTTTTATACATCACTTTCCCTATATTTGATTCGTCCACTTTCCGATGTTAAAAACGAGAGACAAGGATTCTCGAAAATCGAAGATTTCCTGGATTTTTAAGCTTCTGCTTATTGTGGGTGAAATGGACATA